GAACGTCTACCGAGCGCGTATACACTATTTCGATAGTCTCTCCTTGTCCTCCGTCTTCCTGGCATTCGCAGCTTGCCCTTTTGTTCCTGAACGTTGCCTGTGGGTAACAAACTACTTGTAAGTAGTATTTTACTCACAACGAAACTGCCTGTCATACAACAGTATAACGGTTTGCACACGTTTAGCGCCGGCCGCCTCTCGTGTATGTGCCGATAGAGCAATACATTAAAATTCTCATCTGTGATCACGGACTTGACCGATGCGTTCCAATGTGAACGACCGCAAATGCGCAGCATTCCTGCCTACAAAGTAACCTACCTATACCATTACTTACTTCCAGCGAATGACCTTTTAAACCTTCTTTCTTATTTAGTGCGAAATGTGCCAGTGGATAATCTGGGGTGTCAGGTAGTTTGTATGTAGCAATCAGGTCTCCCCTGAGAGGTCTGTAATTCGCTGATAAATGACCTTATTCTGCCATTCTTCCCGGGTAGGGGCATGACCACATTTTTTCGCATTAAGCTGCAAGCTGTTTTCTACGGACCACTAATTTAGTCAGTTCAAATCGTCTTGTAAGGTCACCACATCTGCTGGGCAATCTAGAACTCGCCAGATCCTTGTGTCATCGGTTCAGAGCAACATCAGTGGCTTGACCATACTGGATAGTTCAAGGACGAGAAGAGTAAATAGCCTGAGTCTTAAGATTGCTCCCTGCGGATCGCCGCTGTTGGCTGGGAACTACTCTATCACCTGTCTATTCACCTTCACGTTGAATCAGTCAGATAATCCTCTAGCCAAGTGAGCAGGTGGTCATCAAGTCCATGAACATTCGCTTTTCACAGCAAGGTGGAACGAGAAAACCTGTCAAAGACTTCGGAAAAGTCAAGAAAAACCACGTCTCTTTTCAATCTTGCGTTTGCAACCTTCGTCCAAGCAGCACGAATAATCAGGGGTTTTGTAACGTATAAAAGCCACGTTGTTCTTGGGTGACGATTTAGCGGTGGTCAACCCTAGCCCGGAGAACGTCATCTAATAAACTCTTCATTAATTAAGAGACCACTGACAGCAACGCTTTGATCGACAATTTGCTGGATCGTCTCTGCATCCACCTTTGAAGATATGTGTGGTTGTGAAATGTTTGTAGGATTTCGGTAAACAGCCGCTTTACAAGGAACGACTGAAAAGTGCTGTAGGTGATCCTGTTAATCCCGTAGCACAGTTTCTCAAGACAACGGAAGATGTCGAATCTGGACCAAGTGATTTGTGGGTTAGTAGGTTCTCTAACTTGACTCTGGCTTGTTACCATAAAACTTGGGCCAATTCAGTCAAGTTATCGCTTATTCGCACAAACGTCGTTCGCGATTTACACATATGCACACTTTTGTACTGTTCACCCAGAGTGTTGACCGTCACTGCATCTATGTTTGTAAGTCCACCAGTGGTCTTCTGTTGCGCCAAGTCAACCCTACTCCTTGTGTGTGTTACGGCTTCGCTGTAGAGAAAATTAAGTCACCTTCAGCTTTTCAGCAAGACCGCGTTGATAGCGAAATCGATTCCCTCTGATAGCGCATGATCTTCTCCAGTTGAAGCACTATAACTGTTGTGTTAACTCCGATCGGTGACCACTCGATTAGGACTTCTCTCCAAATTGAAGTAACAGATATAAGCCAGCTGAGTGAAATTTTGATTTCTGTGATTGGTGGGAGATTTCGGTTTTATATAACTTGGACATCACTCGCAGATGCTTATATCTGTCGCATTCTCATGGGGTTTTCAGTAGGCTTCTTTTGTAAGAAAACTAGTTCTCATCAATAACCAAAATACTGTTCAACAGGCCGATAATTTAGGTGAGTTTAACTTGAAGGGAAGTCTCAGTCGAGGGATGCTCGACTGGAGCTAACAGGACAGTTATTGTCTCCCCTCAGGTATAACGGTCAATCTGAGCGTTTCTCACAAGCAAATGTGGTTCAGTATCTGTATGTGATGATTCAACCGCGCCTAATATAAGATCAATGACACAGTGGTCAACGCGGTTGGTTTTTAGGGGCGTGGTGTGTATTCTGACCCCAGCCTGGGCAAGGATATGCATAACTGACGAAAACTAACGAGAGCAAATCTCGTATCCATGGCTTCTTTTCTTAAGGTCTATCTGAATACAAAGGCTGCATCGCTGTGCGCGTATAATGCAGTCAATGACCTATCTGCTCCGTGGAGATGAACGCAAATTTTAGTCCACAGAGACTGCCTGCAGTGAGTTTGTTGAGCTCAAGGATGCGGTTGCCGACTCAGCTCCATTGGCTCATCCTGACCCAAACGCACCACCAATGATTGTGACCGATCCATCTGACACAGCATTGGTGCTTTGCCACACTATTTCGTTTGAAAGTACTGGTAATTTTTAGCTTTCTTTCCTAAAATTGTACAACCCGCAAAATCCCGCTACATCACGTTTGGTGGGGAGTTACTAG